AAAAAACTATAGAGAAGCTACTTATTTAGGACATGCTTTGAAGCGAAACACTTTGGGTTCTTGATTTTGCACAAATATAAAGCCCCGAAATTACTTGAAGACCACTTTATTTCACAAGATACCAAAGAAACCTCTTTACTAAAAATACAAACTGATTAGACATTTCATCAACTTATGTCTAACTTTTTAACTTACTTCTAGTTTTCCAGTAACAATGAAATAGAGGTTTTTTACTTAATTTACGTCTTTTTAGATCTCAAATTATATCTATAAAAGGGATTAAACATTGCAGGTTACAAACATGAGCAAAATTCTTACGTTTAAAACTTTCTAGGTTATGAATCGGAAAGTTTACTGGATCGTATTTTGATCTTTAAATACAGCCTAAAAGTTATATAGATTAATGTATCTATGCGTTAACTATAAAATTTGATTTATTCTTACAATAATACCGCCTTCCAGTGACTAATATTATTATGGCTGATCAAAATCTTGGTTTTGTTTCCAGTTTCTGCATTTAACGTTTCAATAATTAATATTTTACTCTCTATGTGGATTCATTTAATTTGTTACATAATGTTACAACTAATTCAGACTCAATCCTTAGTTAAAGTAAATTAATATCATTAATTTTACACAATTTTAAAATAAGCGTGTATATAGATAATTTTCATAAATCGAACTGAGATAACTTGAGAAAATTTAAAATTTGTACAACCGTTAAAGTTTTATACTCTCGGAAATATTTGAAATTTTCTACTGCTTCTAAAACTAGACAGGCACATTTGAAGCTTCTTATTCAAGAAATAGTCCAGAGATTACTTTTCAAACTTAAGACTGAACAACTAAATTGATTTTATTTGATTATTTAGAATCAAGTGGTGCTGAGGCACAGTTTTATAGCATAGCTTGATTAAAAGACCTTCCTGGATATCTTGGATCAAACCTAGTTACTCAATATCTAGTCAGGAAGATGAGTTATCCAGTGATTCTTGTAAATTTTTTTTTGACATCGAGGATGTAGGATAGTATTCGTCTAGAACCCACTTAAGTCAGCAAACTCTCTAGTCTTGAAATTCACAGTCAAGTTCTTAGAACAAACAACATCCGAAAATCTTATCTGGCATTAATCATTCAGTCTACGCTCATATTCCACTCTGTAAAAAGTCAAACAACTCAAAAACTGCGCCTTAGCACTCAATTAAAGCTCACCAAGAAAGTTTCATAAAAATTCCTCAAATTCTCTCTTATTCTTTAACACGCCTGACTGAATGTGTATGAATACGTTGTGTTCCAATTGTGCGGAGGCTTACTGAATCTCATTTGATATAAAAAATAAAAATTTAAAATGGAATTACAATTTTAAATATTTTTTTCTGTCATTTTTCTCGATATAGTGTCGACAGAAGAGGATCCAATATGGTGTCTAGAGAAACACGAAACACACGGACATCTATTTTGGAGACGCGACTCATCAACGTCAAAAGTCAAGTTTAAGCATGACGTTGAGATACTAGAATTTGTCAGAGACCCAGAGGAGGACTTTCTTGTCTCGGGTGGACATTACAATCACATGATCAGCGAACGAAAACCCACACATCCCATTGTTGTCATTTCCACATGCATATGTGCTATTGCCGTCACCGTACTTCTACCTTGGTTAATGATACAATCGAATGAGCCATTAGATTAATTGATGCACGCTGCATTGATTGTACTGTATTAATTATTAATAAAATAGTTTATATTAAGTCTCTGTGATTGACGTAAATAACCTTTTTTAATATTGTAACTTAAATTAAGACTACAAAGAGTGATGATGAGGATTGAGTCGAGGTATATGAAAAAAAAAAAGTTGCATATGTAAATTATTAAATTGACCTTAAGATCAGAGAAATAGTGCATTGATAGCTTTAAAATGTGTATGAACGGATATAGGAGTACTTATATTCTTAAAGATAATCAAAATATATTAGCATTTAATAATTGATTAGACTGGATTTTTTAAAATAAAAAAAAAATAATTTTTATTTTTTAACTACTGTTTTAAATTTGAATTTTGTTTGAAATCTTTAAGTTGGTTTTAAAACTGTACAACAGTTTCTGAAGCAGCATCAAAAACCATACAAAAACTTTTAAATTGACTTGAAAACATTACAACAGTTTTGTATAACAACTTTAGTGTTTTTGAAACCTTACAACAGTTTTTATAAAGTTTCAAAGCAATGCAACAGTTTTTATTGTGTTTTAGAGCCACACAACAGTTTTGAAATTCAAAAAAAAAACCGAAAAAATTCGTAAAATTTCAAACGTCAAAAATTCGTTAAAAATTTAAATTTGAAAAAAATGTTAAATTGACCAAAAAACTTATGTATCATACTGTAATTATTTGTACTGGATATTCTATGTTATGTTATACGATATAAATGGAAAAATTAAGTGGATAATAAAGATCTATGATTATTATTGTTATTGTTAAATCTAAACTGATGAGAGGTTAATTACTTATTGATTTTATAAACATGTGTTTGTTCTGGTTAACAGTTCGAATGTTTGTTTAATTGGGGTCATCTGATGGACTTTATGTCTGTAAATAACGTAGCAGATGCTTTTAAAAAGTGTTATTGCTGATTAAATGCGTATCAGATTTTTAAGTTGAAGAGATTTACGATTTAAGAATAGGAAAAAAAAAGGTTTTAAAGGTAATTCCGGAAGCAATTTATGTCTTAATTAGCATTATACATTGCATAACGGATTTGACCCTTCCAGCATTGACTTTACCCTTTTTGAATGAAGTCTTTCTTAACCCATGGCTTTCAATTTAGCTTCCTTTAATTTGCATTCTGTTTTACATGACTCATAAATAATTTTGGAAATTCAACCTTAATTTAATTTCAATTTTCTTCTTGAATTGTTTTTTGCCTCATTCATTTAAGACGTCCGAGACAATAGAAGGGCGATTCTAAATAAAACCTTTCTTTCTTTAATTATTTAATCAATTTTTAATTTACATTCTCGCTAGTTTTTCATCATTTCTCTCAGCTGAGCTTCCTTCCACCTGCTTCAATACTTTACACCTTTCGGCAGCTGTCTACTTCCATTATATATTCGTTTTGCAAACAAGTTTCTCTTCCCATGAAAAGTAAGATTTATTCATGGAACAAATGATTTTTTCTGAAAGTCTTCTCGAATGATCCAAATCAAAAAATGTGTAAATATTTGATTCCATTTCTTTTTGTTGAGTCAAAATTGAATGCAAAATTTCATCCAACACTTGTCGTGTAAACAATTGATCATGTGCACTTTTAATGAACTTTTTTTTGTTTAAATCTTTGAGTTTCAGGGGAGGCAAAGTTAAGAACTTTTGATATTCAACATGATGATATTTCCCATTAAGGCAAGGTGGTATAAACACTGTCTGTGCTTGTGAGTAAGACTCAATCTTAAACTAGCAAAAGAACATGTCACAATCCAATTATTAAGAGATTGCTGATTACTCTCAGCTTTGGTCAATTAACTGATGCCAAAATCTAGTTTTATTATTAAAAAAATTGCAATTTATGGGAATTTAAAAATCCTCAAAATTAAAACTTTTGATCTGGAATAAATCAGGTTGAAATATCTCAAAAAGTGTAAAAATTATTGATAAAAAAAATGAAATTGAAAAGATTTATAAAGTGAATAAAGAATCTTAAAACAGAAAAAAGTGCTTTGTTATTTCAATTTCTCCGACGTAAAGCTTCAAATCATCACAAATAATAAAGGAAGCAAAAAGAATCTTTCAAATATCAATCTCAATAAACGTTTTATCTTTTTTCCCTTGAATTTTATTAATTTTTCTTTTTATTTATTTTTATTAAAATTCCATCCATCATTTCAGATTTTTTACAGACACAAACAGCATATAAATTGTATCTAGAAATGATTGTGAACAACACTTGAGACAATTTGTGTATTATTGCTAAACAAAACGAGAAAGATGGAGTGAATAATAATAAATTAAATCTCTGCAAAATGTTCATAGATATTATGAGAATGAAATATGCTTTAAAGTCTTCGGCAGCTGCAGGTTGTGGCAGAATTTTTGTTCGTTTGAGTTCACCCAAAATTTATTTTTATTTCTTTTTTAACGGTTGGTTTATATTTGAGTTTTCAAGTCATAATTCATTTTGTAATTAAACGGATTATTTTGAGTTTGATTTTAAGACTAGATTTTTCAATTTCTGATCAAACTACTTTTTGGACTAGATTCTTAATTTCTGAACCAACTCAATTTGGACTAGATTCTTCAATTTCTGAATAAAATCATTTTTGGACTAGATTTCTCCGTTTCTGAATAAACTCAAATTTGGACTAGATTCTTAAGTTTCTGAACAAACTCATTTTTGACTAGATTCTTCAGTTTTTTTAAAAACAAACTCAATTACTTGACTAAATTCTTAAATTTCTGAACGAACTCAATTTTTGGACTAGATTCTTAAATTTCTGAAAGAACTCAATTTTTGGACTGATATTTCAGTTCTTGAACGAGCTGGACTTTTCGGTTTCTGAACAGACTTAATTTTGGACTAGATTCTTCCGTTTCTGAATAAACTTAATTTTGAACTAGATTCTTCAGTTTCTGAACAAACTTAATTTTGAGACTAGATTCTTCAATTTCTGTACAAACTCAATTTTAGAACTTGATCTTTCAGTTTCTGAACAAACTTAATTTTTGGACTAGATTCTTCAGTGTCTGAAGAAACATAATTTTGGACTAGATTCTTTAGTTTCTGAACGAACTCAATCTTTGGACTCAGTTCTTGAACGAACTAGACTTTTCAGTTTCTGAACAAACTCAAAGATATTTAAAAAACTAGATTCTAAATTACTGAAAATTAAAAAGCAATAAAATAAAGGCTCGATTATTAATCATGAATATATGTCTAAACATAAAAATTTATTACATTAAAAAAATTTAAATTTCAAAATGAATACAAATTCACAAAAATGTTCATATAATCCACGACTTAAAAATTCATCGTCGGAAGAAAAAGAAAGAATCAGAATTGAAAAATGTTTGTTTTTCCTTTAAAAACTTTTGTGTATATTACAGTAATTTGTTTTCTTTTTTCTCACCTTAGAGTTCACTTTTTTAAAGATTTATACCAAAACATTTGCTTGATTCATTGCCTGCTACTCGTATGTGTCAGTCATTAAATTATTGTAAATCTTTCTTTTCTTTTTCGGCAAAATAATCCCTTCTTGTATTTCTTTCCTCTTTCGCTTCTTGCTGTCCTGTTTCTTTAATTGCTTCCTAATTGTTCTCGCTGCCGCCTTTACCGGATTATTTATTTTCTCATGTGCCAATGACTTACGACGATCAACACGTTTATGGAGCATTTTTGACTGCAAATCAAGTCGCACTTTGTCATATTCTTCCATGCCAATTAGCGTCTTAATTCTATTGCCAGTTTGCATAGCGACTTGCTTCAGTTCCTCAATAACATGCTCACCATCGACCATTTCGCGAAGCATTGGTGTCAATAGTGAACTTGCTAATTTCATTAACGTTCTTCTGTCAATGATGTCAAGTAAGTTGTTGAAGAAATTGAAAATTGATTTTCTTAATACACAAGACGATGGAGTTGTGGCTATTTCAGCATGAATTGCATACCTCAGACGTCTTACCATCCACATAAGATTGAAATCTTTTTTATCGTTGACCATTCCAGTGAATGGAATGTCTTTGAGGATTTTAGAAATTTCAATTAAATTCTCTAAAATTGCGGTTAGCAAGTCTTGCTCAATGTCAGGCTTTAATTGTACAGACATGTCAAATGCGACACTTTGGAATTGTGACTTTGATTGTAAGAATGGAATTTCATCAAGGACAGCTTCATCGTTTGTAATAATTTCCTTAATCCTAGCCAAATCCAGATTCTTTATTAAGATATTAATAACTTTCAGTGACCTCATTCGTACCCAAGTATGGTCATGTGACAATAATTCATGAGCTTTATATCCAATTTCATCAATCGTTGCCTTATTATTCTCATCTTTAAGCACACTTCCATCATTAAACTCTAAAATCTTGATTATAGCATTTAAAGTTTGAATTAAGTGATGATCCTCAACAATTTGCTGATCACGCTCATCGACAACACTCGATTCCATCTCATTTTCATTATTATTGTCCATTTTCAGCCGTTTCACACGAACAAACTTGCCTGGTTCATCGTCCGTGTTTGTAATCGATTTTATTGAAAGCTCCAATAAACTTGACATTCTCGGCGCAATAAAATCTCTGTCTGTTGCATTAATAAATCGAATGATTAATTGCGCAGCCATTTCACGATGTACTAATTTCTTATCCTTCAATAACATTGTGACAATGTCAATCAGTTGCAGCCGAGATTCGTTTGGTAATTGTTTGATTAGCAACTCGATAGTAAGTGCAATCTTTTCGCGACATGTTGGTGACTCGTCATTCACGAGTCTCGTGCCCAATGCAAGGAAGAACAGTCCACAGAACTTACAAAGTTGTGGCTATGTAAATGGGAAAAGTAAATATAGAAATAATTATTTAGAGTGGATGTGAATTGAGGATTGTTAATTATTTGATAAACTAGTAATGATTAGCGACTTGCTAATTCAAACCACGTCATTCGATGGATATAGGAACGTAAATTGAACCATCCCATTCAGGGCATTTAGCGGTTTTACAAAATTTAAATTTTAATCGGTTTGTAAAATTCAAATTTGAATGTGCAAATCTACGTCATATCCAACAGACACAAATCTATGCATTAAAACTCACCTGAGGAAAATGTTTGAATATCAAGCTCATCATCTCAATAACAGATTCTCGTCCACTTATCTCCTCATAGTTCAATTGAGCAATGAAAAATTTTATAAGCTGATCAACTTTCTTGCCTAAAGGATATTCCATTAAATACGTCAAAACAATTGGTCTTATTGCATTTCGCCTCTCGGCTACTTCCGATGTTATACTCATTTCTGCAATCTTTCTGAGCACTTCGTGAATTTCAGGCACAATTAATTTTTTGTCTAGAATAGCCTTAAGTAGAACAAATGAAATTGTGTCTTTGTCATTTGCTATTGTTAGGTCTTGTTCGATATACAACAAAAGTGTCTTTAATTGGTTCTCATTTACAGTATAATAATCGACATGTCGAATAAGCACAACGACACTTTTAAACGAACTCTTGACCAACAAATAATGATTATCTTTCCTTGATATCTCAGTCGTTGCATATTTGTGTAAAATTGCGAATATTTCACTTGCAATTCCATCCGTAAACTTCCTTAAACTTTCCAATTCTAATTTTTGATGCCACATGATTGCAAAACATCGTACAGACAGCATATTGACTTTCAAGAAATTTCCCTTCATCGCATCGACCAAAAAGGGCACTAAAGGATCAAGAAATCCTTCCAATCCATCAGATTTCTTCTTTTTCAATGAAATATGCAGCATTTCGAGTCCAAATTCAACAAGCACGTACGAATTTGTCTGCTTGCTTGATTTCACATTCTTATTCGTCGTGCTGGCTCCACGTCTCTTTGGCTCCTCAGGAATAATCAAACAATCGACTTTCTTTACCTTTTTTTGTATGTGTAAAAAGAAAAGAAATTTAGGATTAGTTTAATGGATTGGATATGAATTTCGGGTGGTAAAATATTTTGACGGTTTTGTGAGATTCAAAAAAATTATCGGTTTTGTAAGATTTAAATAATAAAACGGTTTTGTAAAATTCAAAAAATTTAACGGTTTTGTAACATTCAAATAATTAACGGTTTTGTAAAATTCAAATAATTAATGGTTTTGCAAAATTCAAATAATTTAACGGTATTTAAGGAACAACCAAAAAGTGAACTTTACCTCCTTTGTGTCAGTCTTCTTCTTATTTGGCAATAAATTGGGTATTGACTCGGATATTGTACCATGAATCAATATCATCAAAGCATCAATTGGAATTTTCTCATTGACTGTAAAGCCCGATGCAATTTGTACAAGACATTCCTGAAGTTTCATAACAGTTCGCTTTGATTGTGTCTCAAGTAGCAAATTCTTAAACGGTTTAAGCATGTCTAAAATGCATTTTTCACCTAAAGTCGCTGCCAAAATATTGAGCGTCAAGAAGCTTTTGCGACTTGGCTTAGCCTCAGGCGTTCTTTGTCCAATTTTTCCAATTTCTTGTTCCTCATTATTCTTCCCAAAAATGTCGTTAAAGCAAATGTCAAGGACTTTATGAAGAATTCTGTCTGTGACATTCGATTTGACCAATTGATTCTTTAATACATCAATAAGCGTATGGACAGTTATTGACAGCACATGAACTTGAAATCCTTTACATAATATACACGATAAATTCTCTATAGCAACTTCTAGATGCTCAACACCCAATACAATAAGAATTTCCTTCAATGTATGTCTCGCTGTTGCTCTGACTTGCTTCAAATTCGATTTAAGGAACGTCGATACTTTCAATAAAACTTGTGACATATATTGATGCAGAAACTTTGACGGCAACTTCTGCAACAGCTTTATCATTGGCAGTGCCAGTGGAATACGTATCATGTCAGCTTTCTCTTTGATCCGTTTCTCTTCCTTGTTCAGCTTGTGTGCATTATTGGTTGATAATTCTTTTAAGATTCTGAATAAGGATGGAATTAGCTGACGTGTTAGGTTGCGGATGACTCGAATCGAGACGTTTGGATTTAAAGTTGTGATTTTTTCTATTGCTGGACTGTTTTCTTCAATTTGTGTCTCATCTTCGTGTTCACTTTCTTCACTTTCTAGTTCAACGTCTGAATTATCATCCAGTAAGTCATCTTGGATTGTTTCATCAGCTTCTGGATCTATTTTACTTGTTTCTGGATCTTCTACTGGATCTTTTTCACCGGAACTAACGTCAACAGTACTTAACTCGAAATGATAAGCATCTAATATAGCAGGAATCAATTTAACAAGCTGCTTCTGATAAGCTTTCGAGTCATTCATCATTTTTCTAATGTAATGTTTAAGCACAATCTCGTACTGATTCCAAGGCATAAATCGACATATACACGAGACATACTCAATTGCTGCCTCAATAACTTTTGATTTTCTTTGATATTCATCAGTGCATAGAAAGATTCTCGACATTGGAAGCAGAAAGTCATTTAATGTTCTTAAATTTGGCACTCGAGTGTATGTTTTAGCTATGTCAACAAATCTTCTTAGTGCCTTCATGTGTCTGAATTTCTGCAAGTGCGTAATATTGTCGAAAAAGTCGAGTTCTCGATTTTTCGAGTCTGTTAATGAATGAAGGTCATTTAGAATTGAATGTGCTGTTGGATGTTTGCGTGCTAGTTCTCCTAATAAAAGAATTGATTCTGTTCGGATCTCATTGTTCTGACAAATCTTCTTTTGTAATAAATTAAGGATTATTTTATCCATAAAGTAGTCAATTTGTGGTTTATCGTGCTGGAAGTTTTCAATAATTTTTGAGCATGTCAGCTTTAAGTGATGTGAAGAATTATCGCGGATTCCTAAATCCTTTTCAGTTTTAAGGAAGTAAAAGCAATGATAAATAACAAGCACAGCTAAATCTACAGGAATTACATCCAGCTTCTCTAGTCTATGGAAGGCACTTATCTTCCTTTCAAAGTCTGGCTGCTCAATCCATCTCTTATCATAAGCATTCAAGTCTGCAACAATTCCCAGCATGTCCTCGTCAACAGCAATTAGACTGAATGTTTTAACTAAGAACTTCCTCTGATTAACTTCATGGATTACCTCAAAAAGTGGCGATACAGCACGCAAATAACTTCCTGGCTCGTCCACAGCCTTCAATAAATTTGATATTGTCATCAATAGTTTCATTATTCCTTCCGAATCATTCTGGTCCTCAACGACTTTCCTCAATGTCAATGGAAAGAGAATGTCAAGTAATATTTTCGATGACTGTACATCCTTAACGAGTTCAGTGACACGCGATAGAATCAACAAGTTGCGAGATTTTATTGTCTTTGCATTTCTGACACTCAAAAAATTCTTTAATTTCATCAAAATGTCCTGAATGAATGGCTCGACAAGCTTAGTTCCATAATTAATTGTTGTTACTTCCTCGTCCACATCAATAAGTGTCAATAAACGTTCAAGACAGTCCATAACACATTCAATGACTGTCGATGTCGTTGATTTATTATTAAATAATCCAATCATAGATTTTAATGGATAATTTCCGTCCACATCTGACTTTTCTAGATATTTAAAATATTTTGGATTTTTTGACCATTCCACAAACAGTTTCATTAATCCCGTGACATTCTGCGATGCATCACGATGAAATGTTTCAAGATGTTTTGATATGAAAAGTCCAAAAACTAATTCAATTTCGTCGGATGTCCAATTGAAACTTTCATATTGTTCAAAATACTCAACGATGCTTTGCAGACATGCTTGTTTAAGGTTTTTGGACATTGTACTGTCAATGTTGAGTGTATGACATGCAATTGATAGAATTGACCGAAGAGTTTTACGTTGAAAAGCATCTCCAAATGCACCAGCAACATTTTTCTTGATTAAATCAAGAAATTGTAGTTTGGACTGAAGTTCATTGATTTTAAAAGTCGTGCTTGAATTTTTGATATTTTCCATCATGTCTGAGCATTTTTCGATGGAACTAGAATCGGATATTTTACCAATCACGATGTCTGTTAATTTCATTAATTCTGGTTCTTTTAAATGATTCATAAATCTTACAATCACTTCCTTTTTAGCCTTAAAACCTTCCTGATCCTTCTTGCTCGCCTTAATCGACATTTTTGAATACAAAATTGGAAGGAAAATTTCAACAAAATTTTCACGATTTTCAGCTTGAATTTTCTCATCCAAATTTAATGTCAAAATCTCTTGACGGAAAGTTTTCTCGTTGACACAATTGTACAGTAATTCTTTATAGCTTATGACTGCTGGATCTTTGTACTGCATGAGACAATCGAGTGCCAATTTTTGTACTTGAAAGTTGCGATGTAATAAAAGTTCACGATACAATTGTCTCAATTCAGTCGCTTTTGTCACACATTTTGGGTTCGAGAACTTTGCAAAGACTTGTAAGTGACTTATTAGGAGCTTTTGACGTCCTTTTGTCGGTGCCTCGGTGTCTTCTTCGTCAATTTCATATTCATTTTTGAGAAATTCAAAGAAAAGTTCAACGATGTCTTTTTGTTTTTTATCCAGGACGTTTGTTTTTGTGTCGCTTAAGACTTGCCATAGCTTTGCTCTAAAGCTAATTGGATCATAGCGGTCCGTGACTGTTGCGAATTCAAGGAATTTTGTGTTTATTAATTCATTTTCGGAAATTGCTTCTTGATCTACTGGATCTTCATCTTTAGCCTTAAAACTATTCAGCTTCGCATAAAAAATCTCCCAAAAGACATTAACATCAAAGTTAGCAGCATATGACTCAATAACATCTCGAACTGGATCCCAAAGTGGCTGAAAATTGACATGGAGGAAGCCTAGACAGAATTTTAGAGCATCTTGAGCTTTTTCTGTGTCTTTAGTGTCGTTAAAAATGCCAGAATCAAAGTTTAACTTTTGTAATAAAAGAATCTGATCGCGATATGTCTGAATTGATGGGGTAATTTCTTCTATTTGCTTGAAAATTGTGTAAATTGATTCCTTTGTAGCTTTTAAATGATCAAAAGATGAGAGAATTTGAGCTGTAAGAAATCTGACATCTTGATACTGTGACTGGATGTTGTCAATTAATGATATTCTCAATTTGTTGAATACTTCCAAGTTTAAGGACTTTTCATTATGAAGCTTTAACTTTTGGACGAAATAATTGATAATTTTGATGACTGGATATGACTTGTTGAGAGTAAGCATGACATTGATGATTTCCATTATTTCTTTGGCTTCAAATTCATGCTCAATGTGCTGGATTGTTGTGACACAGACAGCAAATATAAAGACTTGCTTTGCATCATTTTTAGTTCTTAAATTTTTAATGATTTCCTTGCAGATTTTCTTTAAATGCTTTGCAATCTTGTCCTTATCAAAAGTAACTGAATGTGGGATTATTTTTATAGCCATTAAGAATTCTTCGATGTCTTCATTGTCAGCTGAATAATTCAATATAAATTTACTAAGTCTGTCGACAGTTTTTTGATTTTTAAAATAAAGATTGTATCCATCGAATTCAGAATTTTCCAATAAATTGTTTTGCTTTCTAGCTTCAATAATTTTTACCATAATTTCCATCGTGGCTTTAGAGAAATTCTTTTCGAAATACCTTATAAAATCGGGCATAATTAAGATATCAAATTGAGCACAACTTATTGAATTAATAACAAATGACTCAAACACTTCAGCATGCTCCGTACTCAAGACCTTTTTTGCCAGACGACTTGCTTCCAATTGACCAATCATAAAGTTCTTTGAAAGCAATAAAAGAGCACTTATTTGTGATAAAGTCATCATCACATCCAACGAATAATCTTGGTCAATTATCTGAATTACAAGATTGATGGTCTTTTGGACGTCAGTCAACTTCTTTCCACCATAATATTCGATTGATTGACCAAGGAAAAATAACACATAGTGTACGGCTATTGACTTTTCATCTGTTGAAAGATTCTCATCTTTTATTATGTTTTCAAACGTTTTATAGATAACGTTCCAATAAGTTGGGATGTATTTGACATCAATATAGCATAAAGTGTCGCCGACTGTTTGAACCAAGATCTGTAAATAAAATGAGAATTGATTTTAGAAAAATATGTTCATTTAACGGTTTTATGTGACTTAAAATATAACGATTAAAGAATATTTGAAATTTTAGCAGGTTTTAGAAAACATTTGAAAGGTTCTGATCAATATTTAAGAACATTTGTATGGCTCTAGCAGTTAAAAGTAATTTGCATTGTTTTGAAACTTTTGAAGGGTTTTAGTAGATATGAAACAATTGTATGGTTTTCAAGCATTTTGAAATTTGACGGTTTTAAAAATCATTTTTGAAAAGCATGATAAACAGGACTCACCTCCTTCAAAATATCCCAATACTTCTTAAATTCACTCTTCCTGAATGCATCGAACAGAATCTCCAAAAATTCATCTCCTTTACTATGAAATTGTCCATTAAGTCCTCGGACCATTTCAAAGAACAACTTTCCACAGCCAGTAATACATGTCTCATCCTGCTTGACAATCCGTAATACAGCCAATAAGAATAAATTCTTATCTTTCAAGTTTCTGACCAAAAATGCAAAGCATTCAACAGCAAAATTGATTATGTGTGCAGGCTGGTCCTTTTCACTCATTAATGGGATCACTTTTGAGATGACAATTGTTATTTCCTTGCACAGGAATGGCTTGAGGATCTTGAATAAATATGCTAAACAGATAAGAGTCCATTCTGTTTGGTCTGCATCTTGTGTATTAAGGAGCTTGATGAGAACTTCAAAGAATTTGTGGAAATGAGCATAAAACTCTTCTCGAAGATCTCTGGCTAGTGAAACTGTCAATCTAGAATAGAATAGCATTATTAGTCATAACATACAGGAAAAATCAATGCACAACTTACTCTAGAAGCGGTTGAACTGACAAATTCGTGGCACTTTCAAGTTTATTCAGCAAAATTTCAATTAATTTATCTTTGTGATGCAAAACAAGCAGAAGTGTCGCTGTTGGCACTTTTCGTACTTCCTTCGCAAAATCAACATACTCTCCAGTCAAATTTAAAGTGCTCCATTTGTCAAATGTCTGATAAAAGTAGGAACGATTTTCAGCTGGAATTTCATTGACATGCTCAATGCGATAAAGTGCAGACGATCTCAAATCAACTTCTGCAATACGCTCGCTGAATTTCTTGAACTGTAAAAGGTAGTTTAATTAATTTTTCTGTAAGGTGTTTGGTTAAAATTCACTTACTTTAAAGACATTTTCATTTTTATGTTTTTTCGACATTTTAAGAGTCTAATTCAATGTTATTTTGACTGTTCCTAGATAATAATTATGCTCACTATTGATTTCACTCACTAAGAATATACAATTCTGTATACTTTATTTAATATTTAATATTTTGTTATATCCATGTTGCAATGTTTATGTAAACATGTGATTTCTTAGAATCTGTCAGACTAGCAACCTCTGTAATTTTGAATCTCAAAAAACAGTTTGAAGATATTGAAAACTACGAAAGTGAGAGCATCCAAAATCTGCAAGCAGTAATATAATCAATAAAGAAATTATTGTAGTTGATAAAATTACCATTCCCGTTAGTCTAGAGAGCTGAAAAGAAAAAATACTCAAAAATCATTTAACGGTAGAAAAATATTCAAAATTATTATTTTTCACATGTATATTTTCGCGGCATCGATTAAACAACATTTTCTTCTTTTCTCGAATTTGCACTATAATTAACAGCATTTAAAGCCAAAAAAGAATTGTAATCGATAGAATCAGTGAAATAACACAGTAAAAAATAGATAGTTGATAAGAATAACAAGAAAAAGACGATGAAAATCGAAGAAGTTAAATCTACAGTTAAAACACAGCGTATTGCTGCTCATTCTCATGTTAAAGGACTAGGTCTGGACGAAAATGGAGTTCCTTTACAAATGGCATCAGGTCTTGTTGGTCAGAAAGGAGCTCGCGAGGTAATAATCTAAATTATCATAAAAAAAATATCATTAATTAACGAAATTCCACATCAAATTCAGGCTGCTGGAATAATTGTGGATCTTATAAAGGCAAAGAAAATGGCAGGAAGAGCAGTATTACTTGCCGGACCACCTGGAACTGGCAAAACAGCTGTTGCTATGGCAATCGCTCATGAATTAGGAAATAAGGTAAACAATCGTCACTAACACAAAGAACTATGACTAATAATAAGCTTTTGTAGGTTCCTTTCTGTCCAATGGTCGGTTCCGAAGTATTCAGTAGTGAAATCAAGAAGACAGAAGTTCTTATGGAGAATTTCCGAAGGTCAATTGGTTTACGTATTCGCGAGACAAAGGAAGTTTATGAAGGTGAAGTAACGGAACTTACTCCAGTTGAAACAGAGAATCCAATGGGTGGATTTGGTAGAACAATCAGTAATGTCGTTATTGGACTTAAAACAGCTAAAGGAACCAAGCAGTTAAAACTAGATCCAAGTATTTACGAATCATTACAAAAAGAGAAGGTTGAAGTCGGCGATGTGATTTACATTGAGGCAAATAGCGGTGCTGTAAAGCGTCAAGGAAGAAGTGACACATTTGCAACAGAATTTGATTTGGAAACTGAAGAATATGTTCCATTGCCAAAAGGAGATGTCCATAAAAAGAAGGAAGTGGTTCAGGATGTAACTTTACATGACTTGGATGTAGCTAATGCTCGTCCGCAAGGTGGTCAAGATGTACTTTCACTCGTTGGTCAATTAATGAAGCCAAAAAAGACAGAAATTACAGACAAGCTTCGACAGGAGATTAATAAAGTCGTCAATAAGTATATTGATCAAGGTATTGCTGAGTTGGTTCCTGGCGTTTTATTCATCGATGAAATTCACATGCTGGATCTTGAAACATTCACATATCTTCATAAATCATTGGAATCTCCAATTGCTCCAATAGTTATTTTCGCTACAAATCGTGGACGTTGTGTTATTCGAGGAACTGATGATATTGTCTCACCACATGGAATTCCATTAGACTTACTTGATCGCTTAATGATTATCCGCACAACACCTTATAAAGTAGCAGAAATAGAACAAATCATTAAGCTTCGTGCACAAACAGAAGGACTTTCAGTTGATGACGAAGCAATAACACATCTTAGTGAGATTGGTAATAAGACAACATTAAGATATGCTATACAGCTCATGACACCTGCATATCAATCAGCTAAAGTTAATGGACGATCACAAATTATTAAGGAAGACGTTCTCGATATTGGTGAACTGTTTTTGGATGCAAAGAGAAGTGCTAAATTTTTAACGGAAGGCAAGAACTTTATGAAGTAAGGCAGTAATGCACAGATTTATTTTATTTTATAAATGTACACGATTGAATCATTAAAGGATAAATTCGAGTGAATTGATGTCTAATTAATGATTTTAGTGATCCAATCTTGATATTTCAGCACATCCGTAAATAATGTGAATGTGTAATTATCACATCCAGCAAAATCTATAAAGGAAGCACTGACTATTCCTCTCAAATAGTATGTCTGATTATATTCCACAGCTATTGAGCTCCCAGAACTTCCAGTTTCAAGACACGGACCTGAATTGAAGCCACCAGCACAGAAAGTGTTGTTTGATGCAATGGAAGTAAATCGTTTTTGAGTTTCTATGCAGCTGTTTCTTATTGGCATGTTGTATTCTTTTGGATAGTTATTTGGTAGGTTGTGCTCATAATTGTAGTATCCTGGATCATCTTCTTCTAGTGCTATGAATGTAATTATAATTCCTGTTTTGGTTGACTGGATCTGATCAGTTCCGTTCCAAAGACAAATTGGGGAAATTTTATTATCAAAAGTAATCGGTTCCTTAAAATTTAGCAATGCTATGTCACCATCAAACTTCTTGATTTCTGGATTCCAATCTGGATGTGTGATTACTTCCTTTATGTTAATATTAATAGTGTCACTCAAATCCTTAAGATCCAGGACATTAGCTATCAAAAATATCGCATGACTTGCTCTCCTATATGTCGAATGCTTCTCTTGGATGCAATGTGCAGCTGTGATTGAGAAGCTTGAAGATATTATAGATGATCCACATAAGTGTTGGAAGTTCCCGTCCTTTGTTTTATTTATTGAACTGTAGATTTCAGCAATCCAGGGAAAGTGAAGCTTGTTCGTTTTATAAGAAATTATTGGAGTTCCACAGTCGTTGGATGTTGCCAAACTGTTAAAGCACAGCATAATAAAAATGATCATGATGAGAAATCCAGTTCCTTCATTCAGCTTTTTACGTAAAATGATCATGCAAAAAAATTAACAAGAAAACTGATCTTACTGTAAACTGCTGTAAACTATTACAACAGATTAGTGAGTAAGATTATGTGAGTAAATTTAAAAACATTAAGTTGTGGCACTTAATGAATCTTCAAGTATCGAATAATTATAGCAAGATTATAACGAAACCAAAAGCTGTGATATCCACAAATACAAGCTCTTCATATCCACAAAAAATAATTTTCTTTTAACGATTTTTGAAAATTCGAATTTTGCATGCGGGTCATAGAACTAGTTTTGTTTACATTAATTTATTTTCGCAAAAATTTGTGACATCCTTAATTAATTAATTTACCCTATAATTAAGACACAATTCAACACGAAAATGCATTAGACATTAAGGCAATCAACTGACCGTGCTATTTTAATATTTAAGTCTGTCGTTTCATGTTGAAATTCTTTGAGAAATCTTCAATTAAATTAAAGTAATTAAGCTAGTGACATGGAAAGTAATAAGCAGTGTGATTGTAAAGGCAAGAGGACTTGTTTACTGTGTGAGGACTCACTTAACAAGAAATCCACGGACTGGTATGCTTTATTTAAGGTAAGACCGTTTTTAATCAACCTTAAAAGTGAACTTTTCATGATCAAAAAATTCTTTAGGATTTAGATTCGTACGTCTATTGCTGGATGTGCAAGAAGATCTTCAAAGGATGGGATGTAGTAAGTAGCTGTGATGAGCACAAAACACTAGAAGAAGGGAAGAAATTTACAGGCCTTTATATTCATCCAAACTTCCTCACACCAGACGAATCAAATAAAGTCGTTGAAACTGTCGATTCTGCTGAATGGGATCTATCGCAAAGTGGACGAAGGAAAAAGAACTTTGGTCCTAAAATAAATTTCAAGAAGAAGAAGCTTCGTCATGAGTTCTTTACTGGATTTTTCGAGAGTACTGAATTTGTAAGGAACAAGTTAGTGACTGTGGACTTCCTGAATGACTTTAAGGTCGTCGAGGAGTGTTTCTTAGAGTACGAAAGGGCTAGAGGATCACACATTGAGCCGCACATAGATGATTGTTGGATATGGTAAGCAAAAGCTTATTTAGCAGAGGTTTACTGGATGTTAACTTAGTATTTTATAGGGGAGAACGAATCGTAACTGTTAACACAATAGGTGAGGCAGTTTTATGTCTCACAAAGCATTTTCCAACGTACCCAAAGCAATACAATATTGATTGTATGGAAGATTATAAGGAAGGACTGATAGGCGAACTTGAGGACGAAATTTCTGATGACGTTCTTATAAGAATCAAAATGCCAGCTAATTCACTTTTAGTCATGTATGGAGCTGTTCGCTATCAATATGAGCATTCAGTTTTAAGGGAAGATGTGGAAGGAAGGCGTGTCTGCATTGCTTACCGAGAATTTACTAAACCTTATGATCATTTGGTCAAACACTTTAATAATTCATTGTAAATAATTATTTTATTTCTGCTAAATCTAATTGTTAAGGCTTACATTCTTTTTGAGTCAAATAATACAGGCAATAAGTTAATTTTGTGTCTTTTAATAATGTTAACTTGATGGTTTTATAACGTTTGTTTTTGATTTGAATTTACCTAAAAATACTTCACAGCTTGCAGAAATTTGCTCATAACACTTTTCAAATACTTCTCGATCTCCACAAATCGGATCATGAATGACTTTCTCATTTTGATTGGGATTATAACTTCCAAGCAGTATGATTTTTGCTGAGCTATTGAGTGCTTCTGCACCTTCATTTAATTCACGAATATGAAAATAATCCATTCCAAAAATATAGTTGAAGTCACTAAAGTCCTTGTAAGAAATTTGTCGAGCTTTGTGAGAAAAATTCTTGATTCCAATTCGGTTTAGTATTTCGTCGACGTAAGGATTGATATCACAGCCGAGCTGCCAGTTTAAGGTTTTAAGGAAGGAGGGGGAGGGGTTTCGGTAAGGAAGACTAAACTTCCCACCTTCTACAAATATTTTTTTTCCATCATGTTGTTTTCCCCTTGGTTACTGTTTGGTAGTAATAACCATGTGTCAGGGGGCGGGGGGGGGGGGGGGGGGTTGTAACGAACAGAATAAATTCTATTCAAAGCAGGGGCTTATTCAGGTTTAGGGTAAGGGGGCTGGTTTAACCCTTGACCCCCCCCCCTACCTCGCTGAAATGATGAGGTGAATTTAATTGAATAAGTCCAAGATTAACAGTGTCACACGGTTACTCCAAAATTTCACAATAAATCATAATCCAAAGATAAGCGATAAATCCTATACAAAAGTATAATAAAGTATATGATGCATACTTATTGCAGCTGAATCGATGTGAAATTTTTCTCCCATGCTCCTTTTATTCACTAGATCCTTTAGAACTGCCTCAGCCATCGGTGAACTATTACAAATTTTGAAAGTAAATTATTAATACATCCAAAAAACCATTTTCTTTGATCACTTACCGGCATGTATTACCAAAACATACAAAAAGCACGTTGATTTTTTGATTGCTAGTTTCCATTCCAGCGCAACACTATAAATTGCTTCAGATGTGCTTTGTTTTCATTGAAATGCAAAATAATCAACTGTTCATTCGCAAGCGCAGTCGAGAGAATCAAAACAATACGTATATTGAGAGAGAGAATTAAGCATGTATGCTCAAAAGAGCGAATGATCATTTAGGATCGTCAAATCCATCAAAATTAATTCCAACAATGATTTCATCGAGAGAAATAACCAGACAGAAGAGAATGCAACAGGTAGTTGGCGATCTCAACAAATTTTTTTCATTTTTACTTAACATACTCATTCGCTTTTTCGAGTTTGTATTGATCAGACGTGTTTCGGTTGTTATTTATATGTTTTATTTCTCTTGTTTGACAATGTAAAAAATAATAATTTTTAAGTCATTAAAGAAACCTTATTTTTTGATATTTAAGTGAGAAAAAAAAATTGTAAAAATAATTCTGATAGTGCTTAGTGCTGATCACATGCTGAATGTGTAATAATAAGTAAAAGTATTTTAATAAATATCACGGATGCTTACTTAAGGCAGGACAGGGTGATTATAAAGTGAAATAATTGTGTGATGTTCTTGTAAGAATAGAAAGAGAGTTTGTGAAAAGGAGAAGTGACCAAAATTTGATGACGACATCATATTGAATGTGTCTAAAGTGAATACAGTCAAGGAATAAGAAGTGATCTATTGTGTAGTGTAATATTTTCAAGGTTAATCAGCAACATCATTAATTGACGTGCTGGATAGTGACAGAATAAAAAAAAAGAAATAAAAAGATTTAACATATACAAAGATACAAGGAATCAAATCTTTAACACGCTGATCTTCAACAGGTAACGATCTTTTTTTTCTTGTTCTCCTACTTCTTCGTCTGTATTTCGAAAGATGAGATATAAAAAAGAATTTTATTATATCCCCCATTTCATAAACTGATTCCTTCTTCAATTCGCCGTAGAAGATTTTTATGAATCATAATTTTCAGTTCGAAAGAAGTTAAAGGCCTTTCTTTTTACCTTTGCTGGCCGATCTGTGAAAAACTGGTTTATCTTAAACAAATTTTTTTTGGATTTTCTGTTTCTTTCTCGTGTTCTTCTTAGCCGCTTTTTTTTTGTGTGTGCTGTGTTCGGATCTCTTTTTTTTCTACACTCAATTTCTTTATTTGTTTGCTTCTTACTCCTTTCGATTCCCTTGGTTTACAATAAACAATAAATATAAAAGTTGAGGCAACAACAAGCAGCAGCTGAATATCGAATGGATAAAAAAGTGTGCTGCGTAAAATTTGCAACAACAACTTCATTGAATTCAATGTTTATGGTTAGTAAAAGAAGAAAGACTTGCATTAAATTGAAGTCACTGGACCCTGAATTTCATTTTTTTGCTGTCTTGGACATAGCAAAGAAATTATTCGTCAAGTCATTGTGCTCTCACTTCTCGATAAATGTGCTGATTTTTGTGAATAATATTTTTTTTTAAAAAAAGTCACTGGTCAAAATGTAATGCAAGCAGTTTTAGACTATTTGACGTTTTTGGACTTTGGTGGAAAGGTTTTTGCTGATGATAATGAACTTGCATTAGCTTCTTGAACTTGAAAATTGCTAGTGTTGAGAATATTTCAACGGTTGTTTAGTATTTGAATTAGTAATTGTAACTCGAATTAGCTAATTGCCCCTTTTTGAAGTTGTTCGTCCCGTTTCAATTGTCAAACAATAAGCATCATTAAGATGCGGTTCACTTGTGACGTCCATTTGGGGGGGGGGGGGGGGTCAGCAAAAAAAGAACGATAGAAATTCCTAGAAGTCCATTTTTCTTTTTTAGAAAATGACTATTAATATCGGACGTCAAAAGTGGGTCATTCATTAAGATGAGGTTATTTATAATATAACTGGACAGCTCTGGTTAATTACAGCGAATAAAATATTAACTTTTCAATAAGGACTGGTTCTGTAGCAAAAAAGAATTATATAGTATAAATATCCTTTCATTGTCGACACTCTGTAACGTCAATCTTTGCTTACACGTTTTTAAAATATCATCGAATATGGTTAAGAATAACATTCAGATTAGATAAGTCAATGATGTTCATAGATATCGAACGCGTACCCGAGAAAATTTTGTAACCCCCAACTATCAAACGCACTTAAAGATCAGGATTTTTATGTTAGAGCCAGAGTTTGAAAATAAAATGAAAATTGCTCTATTTTGAAAATAAATCAAAATGAAAATTATGAAAATTGCCAATTTTGATCAAAGCAATTTTGCAATTTTGTCAATTTCAGAAAATTGCAATTTTGGAAATTGTTTATTTTCCAAAATTGCAATTTTGGAAATTATCAATTTTTATTTTTGTGACGTCATAAATATTTGATGAATAATTTTGTATGAAAATTTTCTTCTTTTTAAATGAATTTTTTCTTCAGAAAAACAAAAGATACAGTTTATTTCCTGGATGTTGATATTCGTTTATAACTTAATACTTGCTACTTCCTGCGTGTTTGATGCGTTGTTCCTTTAAGTTTATTTTAAATTAAAGGTACTCATAATCATAATCATAATTATGATTATGAGCATTATGAGTACCTTTAATTTAAAATAAACTTAAAGGAACAACGCATCAAACACGCAGGATTTGATGCAGGATTTGATAATCATAATCATAATTATGATTATGAGCATTATGAGTACCTTTAATTTAAAATAAACTTAAAGGAACAACGCATCAAACACGCAGGAATTAGCAAGTATTAAGTTAAAAACGAATATCAACATCCAGGAAATAAACTGTATCTTTTGTTTTTCTGAAGAAAAAATTCATTTAAAAAGAAGAAAATTTTCATACAAAATTATTCATCAAATATTTATGACGTCACAAAAATAAAAATTGATAATTTCGAAAATTGCAATTTTGGAAAATAAACAATTTCCAAAATTGCAATTTTCTGAAATTGACAAAATTGCAAAATTGCTTTGATCAAAATTGGCAATTTTCATAATTTTCATTTTGATTTATTTTCAAAATAGAGCAATTTTCATTTTATTTTCAAACTCTGGTTAGAGCATTTAATTTATTTAATTCTCTACCTCCATTAGTTAAAAATAAATTCTCATTAAATATATTTAAAACTAGAATAAAGGAGCATTTTTACGAATCTTATTGTGAAATTAATAAAATGTAATGTGATATAGCTAGTCATAAGAATTTATATTTTGTATCTCAATTGTAAAATTATATACAAATAAATCAAACCAGAGATCGAAGCCGATTTTTTCGGCTTAAGGGTAATTCCATGAGTAATGAGAACTGTGAAAAAGACTATACAATATTTCTCTACTTGTAAAAATTCAAATTTCCCAAAACCGTTATAATTTCTTAACGTTTTGTTGTTTATACGAGAGAATTAGCCGCAATATCATCAAAGAGAGATGATTCAAATATATATGAATCTTTGGTCAAAAATAGACCGATTAATGCTAGTTTTTTTGGTTTTTCTTCTTAATTAAAGCATTAAGGAATGCAAATTATACATAAAACAAAAGCCTGGCTAATATCTAATATGTTAAAAGTAACTTTGGAACATAGAAGTGTGTATTTAAGTAAATATTAGGAAATGTTTAGAAAACGATTTTTCGAAAACTTGACCGATTAATTTTACTTTTATTAAAAAAACAAAAATTAGACATATTTCTGATGTGAAATTCTCATTCTCGTTAAGAGCTTTACATGCGTCACTACACATTCGTCATTTTTTACGTCTAGAAACCTTCCTTAATACAAAACCAGACATAACCAGCACTAATCTCCTTCCAAAAATAATTTTACCACAAATAAACGTGAGAATCCTACCAAAAGAAGCCAAAAACAATAAATTCTTAAGGACATTAAGAATTCAGAACCCACAAAAATTCAAATCAATTAATTTCCATTGAATTCACATTTATTTTAATGTCTTGCTGTTCCACAACGGATTTTGAATCATCAGCGAAATAAAAAAGCAAATTCCAGCTTTACCTTCAAATTAAATTCTGTATACATACATTTTTTTTCGCTTGCCATACCCAGAAATGCTTTTGTGCATAATAACAACAATAGGTATGGTTGAAGTTAAAAAAAAATATGCACAACATATTTTGTTTAATATCTCCAGTGCCAGTACGTGTACCATTACACATATGTTAAATAATGACACATTTTGTAACCAAATTGAAAAAAATTAAAAGTTCACATATCTCGTGACCGCATTGACTGTGGATATAAAAAAAGAGAAAAGTGAGATAGAGAAACTATTTTTCATACCTTTGGATATACTCACACATATTGGACAATTTAAAACCATCATTCGACAGCCACACCGGCTATTTTAATAATAATTTCACACAGAGCTCAGGCAAGCGTGACCATTTTTCTTCATACTTAACTTCTCTCACCGTCTCTCCCTATCAAAACTTGAAGTTTTATTTATTTTTGTTGTTGTTGTTGTGTCAAAAACACAGCCGTTTGTGCATAAAATTCGAATGTTAATCGACAATTCATTCATTCCATGGCGATGATTCACATGCAGTTCTGTGCTTAAGTTAGATGGGGTTCAACCTTAAATGATGTAAACGATTTTTATGGGAAGTGAGGCAATAAGGAGGAGGGATAGGCAAAGGGAGCTGGGTTTTGGTGATAAATTCTTGGCAAGAGGGGTTGGAAGGGGTCTAGAACTACTTAATGGCTTCTTAAATAATCATGTTACGAAGGATGGGATTCAATGTGGCGCAACAAAGGTTTGGGAAGTCCTTTAAATTGTATTAGGCACCTTTTAGCCAAGCTGCAACATAAGAGCATCTAAAAATCTTATTTCTTACCAGACGTCACTTACAAAAGACCCTATAAATGAAGGATTTATTAATAGCTTATCTCAAAGTGGAAACAATAAAAAAAGTATGAATGCATTTAAGTGAAATGATTGAAACATGACAGGTTAAAATGATGAACTCAGCTTAAATGTGCATAGCAGGTAACCGAGCAATTTATTCCCTCATTATTATTTTTTCTGCATCTTTATTCTCTCCCTGCCGTTCCTTAATCGTTTCATTTGAAAAAAAAAGAATTTCACACAATAAAAAAGGACACAGGATGTTATATAACTTTTACAAGGCAGGTTGTTTCTGTTTGGGCAAGTAAATTTTTTTCCACTGTTTGTGAAATGAATAAAAGATAACTTTTTTTATAGTTTTGTGAAAAGAATGCAAGATGTGAATACATGAGTTGAATGGCAAATAACAATGTCAAAGACTGGGTTCGGAACAAATTTAACTTTTAATTTTTTTCTTTTCAAAATCTTTGCTTTATTTGCTGTTCTTTGTGTGGATTTTTTTGATATGCTGTTGACTTTGGAGTTTGGATTGAGATTTCATTGATCAAAGGGAATTTTGTTTGGGTTTTTTGTCCTGAATGGTCTGGAAAATTGATTCATAATTGGGGAATTTGCTGCTGAATTTTTAATGATAAAGTGTTTGTTCAGTAGGTTGCTGAATACACAATTCAGCTGTTTTCCAAGGTTTAAATTCAGTAGTTTTCTGAGCAATCAATTCAACAGTTTGCTGAGCAATTAATTCAGCACTTAGCTGAGCAGTCAATTCAGCAGTTTACTGTGTAATCAATTCAGCAGTTTTCTGAGCAATCAGTTCAGCAGTTTTCTGAGCAATGAGTTCAGTAGTTTGCTAGATAACAATTCAAAATACAATCGTATCTCTGTTGAAAAAATCTCAAATCCAATTAAAATCACAAACTTCACTGAACTTAAAGAATTTTTCCATTAAATCCCAAATCGTCAACCTCTTTATTGTCAAT